TTTTATTATGTTTTGAGATTTACCACTTAAATGGGAAAATTAACATTTTTGACTTATGTTGGAAAGACGTGGTCCTTCAAGACTCTGATTTCATGGGGAGGTGATTTTTTTTTATACATAATGTGGCAATTGTTTGCACGTAATTATACTTGAAAGTGTTCCGTTCTGAAGTACAAAAGCATCCATCATAACATCTCATTTCCTCTATTAGTTTGCTTCGTAAATTCGTTTTTCACAGACTGAACAATGCTTTTCTTTTCTTTTTTTAGTATATCACAATTAGGAATTAGTGAAGTCCAAACTAATGAGATTTTCCTGTGGCTCCAAATGGGAGGTTTGTAAGATGCTCAGCACTGCAGGGAAGCCCTCCCCCCCACCCCCCGCCCCGCCCAGCTCTTCACTGGAATCGCTCAGTCAAAACAAATCTTGTAATTTCTGACTTTGTTTTCCCAAATTGGTCCCCAGAGGATTAGTAATTCCTTAAGCAAAAACAAAACGTTTTAAGAGGAAGAGAGAAGCAGGAAGAGAAAAAGAAGACAGTGCCCCCCCAGGAGCCATAGTGTCCCACTAGCTGGTCTCACCCTCTCATCTGTCTTCTTGTCTCCTCATCCTTGCCCTCTTCCCTCAGAGTGTCCTCTTGATGAGCGCAGTTGTGTAACAGCCCCAGTGACACTTGCCACACACACACATCAGTGGGAGAACAAATCCCTCAGACATGAGTCATGAAAAAGCCTTCTTTTTCGTCAGTTTCAAGTATGGAAGTGTCTGCTTTTGGTTTGAGTAAGTCTCGAAGCATCGAGTCCAAGACCGTCTTGGAAGATGGGGGAAGAAGAACTGAAAAGCAAACTGCAGGGTAATGTGCAACTGTCCAAATACATACGCAAAAACAGGGCTGTATTTTATTTAGGGTTGCATACACATGTAGTAAGAAGGAAATTGTCACAAACCTGGGCAGCAGCAGAACTTTGTGGTCTGTTGTGATTAGCAGCCCATTCTGTCAAGTAACTATTCCTGATTAAAAAAAACAATTGAGCAATTCTGTGTTAGACCTTAGTGTTGGCTAACCATCAGTCTTGTGACCTTTAGTGAGACATTTAACCAAGCAATAGCCTTCAATTGCCTTATGACCTTCCCCTTCTTCTCCTCCCTTCCTTCTCTCTCTTTCTTTCTGTCTCTCTCTCTTTCCCCCTCCCACCTTCATTTTGTTCTTCCCTTCTTCCCTTTTTACTTTTAAAAGATTTGTAAATGGCCCAACCAAGAGGAAATCTTTAAACTGGTATTCTCATAAACGTTTTCCTTTTGGAGACTTCAAAACAAATCTTTGTTCACAATCAATTCACCTGCAAAGTGGCTTATTAGTAGTATAATAACAATAGTTACATAAAACTGTATAGAAATAATAATTTTAAAATTCAGAATAGTTGTTACCAGTAAGGAGGAAGGAAGGAGAGTGAGGGGACATTAATTGCATCTCTAGTGACTTAAATCCTGAAAGCAGATGCCATCAATTTGTTAAGATTTGATAAAGCTGGAAAGAGGATATAAGGTTGTTCTTTCAATTATTTCTTATAGTTTTTCAAATATAATATACACTATAATAATTTGTCAAAAATATTCCAGAAAATAAGAAAGCTATAGTGAATTCTTAAAAAATAAGTTGAAGCATATTAAAAATTTTAAGGGCTTATTTGACCAAAAATCTGTTTGAGTCAGGCAGCATCAAACCAAAAGTGGTTAGGAGTGCTCCAACAAGAGGAGCTCAGGACAGACTCTACGGTAGAGAAAAAAAACAAAAAAAAAAACAGAAGGAAAGTAAGGAAATTATTGACTGGCTATAGCTTAAAGCCTAGTTGAGTCTTTGTGACTGGTTGTCCATAGTTTTCAGTTTCGTAACCTTGAAACATTCACAGGCTTAGATGTTGGGTTGCTTACATGGGCCACCATGGATCAGAGCCACCTCAGTCTAATGGCCTCCTTGTTGAATTAATTTAACTAATGTCACCAGTAGCTAGCCCTTCCCATTGGTTTTTTTTCCTGTTTCACTCTCCTCTTTTACCTCACCACCACAAATATGCCCCTAAAATTTTGGGCTTGAAACACATTTGAAATTCTCTGTTTTGATCTATAAGTAGTAGTTCAATTAATGACATAAGCGTGTCTTTTCTTATGGGATGAATGTCGTTCAGAGGCCAGAAGATTGTGGAGAATTCTGGAGCTCCAACATCATATTTAGTGGTTGACAAAGGCTTATAAAACTTCATCCCTAAGTCACTGAGATAAGATATATGAATGGGAAACAATTGCTATTCTCAAGGATTTCACAATCTAGGAAGGCATATCACCCAGGTACCAGAAGCTTTTGCAATTTTCTAGAGATTAAGGAAGGATGCCAGTTTGAATCCATTTCATGTCTGAATGACAGAACATTAAAGAATCATTGAGATGAATATTCTCAGTTCTACTATCATGAATTTATTCTACAGATATAGTTGCCCATATATGAAATGTTTTATGCATAGCATTGTTTGTTGGAGCACAAGACTGAATAACCCAAATATCCATCAATATGGGTCTGGGTAAGTAAATGGGGGTTCATACATGCAATGAAATACTATGCAATCAATAGAATGCAACACTCCAGATAACATAAAATGGACAGAACCCAAAGGAACACTGTGAAGTGAAATAAAGACAAACAAGCAAACAACAGCAGACCAAAGTACACAATAAAATTACGGTATTTTATCATTCGTACGTGGCAATAGTTCCATATGTATATGTGTGCCTAGGCATAGACTATCTCCGCAATGATACAAAATACAGAAAATCAAATGGAGGAACTTGGGTGGCTGGGGGTCAGGAGTAGAAGGGAGATTGTGCACCCTTCTACCTTTTATATCCTGGGAATCTGTATAACACGGTAATAAAATTATATAAATATACAAAGATAGAAAACATCATTTGGAGATGATAGGACAAAATAGCGAAAAAAATCTCAAGTAAAGACAGATTCTTTTCCTTTCTTTCTCCCCCTGCCCTTTGCAATATAGCCTTAGAATTTCTAAAGTGTTAGCAAACCCATACTCCTATGTTTATAAAAGACGTGGATGAGGTAGAAGGTTTAGAGGGCATAGAGAAGCTGGTACAGTCAGTTAAAATGTTCTAGAGAGTTCTGGCCATGGACACCCTGTGAGAGTGCCAAGGTTAAATATCCCCTTATGTGGAAGAATTGACCTCTTTAAGGGCACCAGCTAGATTTGTGAATATTCAGACCCCTCTTGCTGACTGGAGAATCTGGCTCAGAGTGCTGGAGGCCTGTATACCTTTGAGAGTCTGACTGATAGGGATGGGGAAAGGGGATCCTTAGGGAATGTGGTGCCCTGAGAAGGAATAAGATTGCTATGTATTTACATCTCCAGGGTGAAACTTCCTGTTACATGCTAGTACCATTATCTGGTGACAACAAGAAAGCATAAAACGTGGATATTTTAAATAATAGTAGTCAAGACCATCGCTAGCTAAATAGAGTTCCACTGATACTGGTTTTAAAAGATAAACAAGGATCCTTTCCAGGTAGCTGAGCCATTGTTTATATGCAAATGGTCTTCTTAAGTGGCCTTTTGTGCAGAATACCTCAGTTTTTAGTAGGCTGAACACCCCTATTGTGTTTACCTTATGTAGTTGTATAATTCTGTATAGATTTGATAATCGTTTCTTTTTTTTCCAGTGCAATGAAAACTTAAAACCAAGTCACTTTCTATGCTATTACAATGTGGAATTTTGAGTATTGGAATTTATTAGGATATATGGTATTTATCCCCTCTTTAGAGAAGTGATGAAAGAAGAGTTTTAGATTATAGTGATTAACTCCAGGAAAATCTTGCAGACTCCCATTCTCATAACTATGAGGTTCATATACATGTACCTACATATTAATATATGCAAATGTCTCCAATCTGATTATTGCACAGTCTTAGCATTCTAGAATGTATGATTTCCAGTTACCGGAAGTACTGTCCTGTGTAAAGCTCATATCCGACAGTGTATTATTTTTCTTCTGATTGCACCATATTCCTCGCGCACTGAATTAAAACGCGCGTATGAAAGTCGACAAATGACTGGGTTGATAGCAGGCTCCGGAGACAATCTCCTTTTCTCCCTGAAGCCTCCTGTGGGACTTTCTCTTCTCCTGAAGTGCATCTTTCGAAATTTTGAAATACAAAAATTAAAAGGAAAAAGCTCAGTGACAAGCATCATTCAAGCAAGAGTAGATGACTGTTTGTTGAAATGCACATCTGGAAATGACCATTGGGACCGAGACAATCACCAGTGTTTAACACGAACGTGGTCTTGCGCTCTCCGGCTTGACGCACATGCCATTTTGAGCCCGTGGTGTCACGTTAACCCTGCTTGACCAACGCGTAGACCTTCTTTCATTTCCCATGAGGATGGGATAAGTGTGCTAACAAGAGCTACCGATCGTGCAGCGTCTCCTCCGGTCTTTGCTCGACACTCACATCTTACCGTCTAGGATTCTTGATATCCGTTTTTAGTTCAACCCTCAGCCTTTTCTCAGTCCTTAAAAATTCTCGGTGCTTCCTGGTCAACCCAGGCAGCTCACAATTTCTTGTAATGTTATTGAAAACTTCAAAACAAATGGAAACAATCTTATGCCTAGAGCCAAATTAAACTCATTACAACATAGAGGATGCTTTCTTAAAATTATACCTACAGCTCTCTGGAAATTCTGATATCTCGGGAGAGAGGAGCGAAGGAGGATGAAGAGGATGAGCGCTCCACCCTGGTACCAGCTGGCAGGATTAGCAGCTCTGGAGGAAAGACCAGCCGGCCCCGGCCTCGGCTGTCTCAATGGGGCACAGCCAGGGTCTCCCTCCTCAGGAAATGGGGTTGGACTGGCACGGGGAGCTCAGGGTCTGCCCCTTCTCTTACTGACCAGGGCTCTCTGTTTTTGTTTTCTGTTCTTTCATCTCCCCCTTCAGAGCATCGTGTGCACTGGGCGGCGTCAATGGCACCCAGACCCTGTCCTGGTCCACTGCATTCAGTCATGTGAGGTAAGCTGCACACGCCCCTCCCCCAACCCAGACTAGAGTTCTTAAGTCTGCTTAACTCACAGGGAGTTGAGCCTTTCTAATTCAAGATCTTGCTCCTGTGCCCTTTGGTTAATCACTTAAATTTAGCTCTCCAATCCCCAAATTACAGATACTAGGATTTCTCTTCTTCCTTTTTTCTTTTTTCTTCTTCCTCCTTCCTTCTTCTGTCATTGTCTTCTTCTCCTTCTTCCTCTTCCTCCTCTTCTTCTTTTTAGCAAAATCTCTAGGGTCACATTTTAAATGACCTAATAAAAAATAAGTTAAAAGCAAATCAGAATTTTTTATGGTCTTGGGATTCTGTAATTGGACCTTACTTGCACTTAGTTAGATCAGGGCTTTGCGGACTCATGGCCTATAGACGGGTTTGTCTGGCCAGCACCATGTCTGACAACAATTTTGTTTTGATTGCCAATATTTAAAAATTGGGCTTTCACATAAAACTTGTACATGTACATATAATATCGCACACACACATACACACATACTCCCAGTAAAAATCAGTATGAAACACTTTGTGCAGATTTGTCTCCTGAAAAACAAGACTATCTGGCAACCATGGCAACGATTAGCTGGCTCTAAGTAACAGCTACAACTCCAGAAGGGCAGCTGCTCTGGGGTGAGCAAGATGCTCCCCTCTCCCTATGGCTTCTTACCTAGTGCGCATCCCTCCTTGGCATCAACTGCCTGGGTCACGCAGGCGTTTATATGCTCAACCTCTGAGGTAGACCTGTAATCCACCGTTGACTAACTTGAATCAGACCTTTACCTCCTCAGGGAATCCTGTGTACTTCTTCACACAGGGGAGTTTCTTCTTTCTAGTAGGGGATTTAGCATGCTGTGAATTCCTTAGTTAGATTAACAGGAGTTATTGTGAAGAAGAGTCAAGAATGAGGCAGAGCCTTACTGAGGGAGACTGACGCAGGAATCCTGGAATCCAGACTTGGGGAGGTGGTAGGGGTGGGGGGATGGGGGGCAGGCACTTCTCACACACACATACACGATTTAAACCCTCTCACCCTGGGGATAGCCCCTCAGTCACAATAGGTTTTGCCATCCAAATCTCTCACTGCAAGTAATGAAGCCACTTAGCGGTGACACTTGGGTAATTCTGGCTGCTCCCTGTGTGCTAGCAAGAGCTGTTGCACTGCCACTGATTTCCAGCACCCTCCCCCCAACACACACCCAACCCACATGCTTGTCTGTCCCTCGGTTCTTCTGTATCCCTGTTTCTCTTTATCGAATTCTGGGAAACTGGGATCTACATGAGGCCAAAGAGGGGGAAAGGGTGGGGTTTGAGACAAAGAGAAAACTGGGTGGGGGAAATGACACCAATAAAATAGCGCTCTGAGAGTCAGTCCATCAGGGAAAATGCTAGCATGGAGTATGCTTTGTTACCGTTCGGGCCAACAAAACAGCTCATCTTCTGCCATCATTAGAAAAACAGATGGCAGTGGGGTGGGGAGGAGGGGCAGTGACTCATCCACTGGGCAGGGTGTAAAAAGAAGGAAGAGGAGGCCAGGCAAGGAGGGAGATAAACAGACAAGAGGACTCAGAACTGGGAAGAGATCAAAGGGATCCTGAGAATTCCCTTCTGCTGCTTCTATGTGTGATGGCAAGAGGGAGGGTGGGTGACGGGGCTTGGAACTGGCTTCCGTGTTTCCCAGAAGGTTACAACGCAGAGCTTTCCTCGTGTACTCCCTCCTCACTGAACCCCCAGCATGTCCTCTAGATCTCTTAACCAGAGCTTCCTAGGCTTCCCTCCTTCCTAGCCTTTGTTGATGTGACAAGGAAATACTCCACTCCCTCCTGTGACTATCCTGCCCAATGGCTTCCATGTACAGCTGAGTCTTGACCAGCTGACAGCTGTTGGTGCCCCGGCTCCAGGGGTTCTCAAGGTCTGGCCCGTGGGGTGAAAGGAAGAGGGCGGGGGGGGGGGGGGGGGGGGAAGAGCATCAATATGCACCAGAAAGGAAAGGAATCAGACACGGGAGGAGAAAGAGGAGAAACTCTGAAGATGTAAGTAGTAAGAAATGCAGAGAGGGTCAGAACAGGAGAAGAAAGGACGAGAGAGGCTGGAACTGGCCACTTGGCAGACACCTAATTCTTTACTGGAAAAAGTCAGCTAAATATATTAGGGGCAACTGAAGAGCATCAAGGATAAAGGGAGGGAAAACAGACCCCGAGGCAAGATAAGCCAAAGAGGGCTCAGTGGATGAGAGGAAGTCTTGAAAGTTCTGCACAGAAATCTGAGCTCAAATTAGACATTTGTTCCCCGGTATCTAAAAGGAGTTTTCTTTTTTTGCTTTCCAGTACTGAATATAACTCTAAGATGTCCCCGTGAGACATCCAGCCTTGTAAAAGTCAAGTAGCTCATTCCTCTGAGCTCAAGACAGTGAATCCATCACCCGCTATCCCCCATCCGTGTCCTGCTTCCTGTCAGTTCTGCTCTTTTGTGTCCTACCCCCTTGGCCACCGAGTTTTCACCTTCAATGCTCCATCATTCTATGCCTCTTGCTTTCTTCAAGAGACAGCTCTAAGGTGTTCTCTACAACATCTTGTGTAAATAACTTCACCTTCTCATTGTCACCTGCATTGGCCTTGTCTCAGCTGTCCAAACTTGTTCATACCTGAAATTCTATTTTTCTAGGTGTTTCTCAAAACTTAACCTGACACTCCTCCTATTTGTCCTGACCCGCCCCTCCTCATGTTGTCTATTTCTTTTGTAAGTTGCAAATGCACAGGGAATGGTAGCTTGGTTGGTGGAAAAGTTTTGGGGTCACACAAATGGAAATTCAAATCCAAGGTCAACTGAGTGGTGTGAGCCTTGTGTCTTATTCTGTACTGGGGGCAACAAAGTAGAGGTGACAAAATGATTTTAAGGAGTGTGTTACGGCATTATCGTGATAATGTCCATGAAGTGTTTAAGTACCATGCTATGTCTGGTCCATGGCTGATGGGTACAAAGTAGTGGCAGTCGTGGTGAACTGTTAGGCACTTTGTAAATGCTTACTGAGTGAGTAATGCAGAAAGCAGGAGTCCAAACTGTTCTTGTGGCCTCAAGGTGAGGTGAGTAGGTACAAACCCTGAGGATGGGAAAAGGGAAAGAATAAGAGAAGAAAGGGGAAACAGGCCATTCCTAGGGAAGCCCCCTGAGATCCATAATTCACAGATCTCATGGAGAGAGCTGCCAGGTCCAGTCAGTCACCAGGCCAGTTGGTCACCAGATCATTCCATGAGTAGCTTTCTTCATTCCTACCATTGTGTCCCTTCTTGGCGCCTCAGCATTTCCCACTTGGGCTACTGCGTTGGTTTCCTGATTGTTCTTCCTCTTCCTAGACCTGTGCTCATTAAAATTATAGACAAGTATACAAATGGTCTAAGATAACTGTGCAGGAAACAAACACTTATTCTGCCAAATGCTTGTCCGAGAAAGCGTACTCCTTTCCCAACACGGCAAGAGAAAGAGAGACACCAGGAGGCATCTTCATTCTGTGGGGCAATGATTGAAGTGAGTGTCTGTTCAATCCATGAACACTATGAGACTGTCAGGTCACATGTATTGCCCTCTCTGGGTTTTTTTCCCCCCTCCGTTCCTTCCTTTTTCCTTCATAAAGTCGTATTTATGAATTCTGCCAAAGTCCACAGCCCTAGGTTCCACTTAAACTAAGAACACCTTGTTCTCCAGGGAATGCAGCTGGGAATAAAGACCACACTTACAGCCTCCTTTTGGAGAGAAAAGATTAATTTCCCTCCTGCCGGATGATTAAACTTGAGGTCCCACTGACCTCACGTTTGGTGCTACTTTTTCTATGACCACGCATTGTGTCCTTCTCAGCAGACTCCATTTTGGATTACAGTTTCTCACACTCTCTCTTTACCCCTTCTCTGTTCTGTAGAGCCATGCCCTTCCTTTTTCAAAAGTGGGAGCTGTGAAGGAGATCAGAAGCAGAATTATATTCAAATAATTAGGACCAAATACAAATCAAAAACATCTACCCTTGTTCACTATGTGGAGATAGGGTCTTATCGAAACAATGATATGTATTAAGAAGGCAGAAATAGTCAACTTATACCCAGTTTATATCCTCATGAGTGTTTATTATATAGTATAGGTAGCCATGGTTAACTGACATTCTTCAGTTCCCAGTAAAACTTAGAAAGCCTTTTAAGATATTGTGGGAATTTCAAGGAAGTCTTTCTGGGCATTAGCTGCCATTTCTCATGTAAATTCTTATGCATACCCTTACAGATGCCTATCACCTTACTTACCGCATTATTTCAAGATTATTGGATAGATCCATCCTTCCCACGGACTGCAGGCTCCCAAGTGTCAGATGTGTGTTTTATTTATTTTTGTATCCCTATTGGGAAAAAAAGCCTAATTCTTCAGTGACACTTGTTTTCATTCCCCCAAAGGGAGGGACAGAGTTGAAGGTAGAACTTGGAGAGTCTTAAATTTGAAAAAGATTGGATCAGTTTTCTGAGAATCAGCACCGTGGAAATAAACGCAGGGCAGGAATAGAAGAAGTAAAGACTAGAAACTCTGACATGCACAGAATCAGAAGGCCTAGCAGCAGGTACAGTGAGGGCTGCATGGAATAGCGGAAGAAAGGCTGTCTGACACATAGAGGCAGGCTTGAAGTTCACTTCCATTCTTTAGATTTATCTTTTAACCGTGGCACACCTGGGTGACTCAGTTGGTTAAGTGTCTGCCTTTGTCTCAGGTCATGATCCCAGGGTCCTGGGATCAAGTCCCACATTGGGCTCTGTGCTCAGCAGGGACCCTGCTTCTTCCTTTGACTACTGCTCTTCCTGCTTAAGCTCTCTCTCTCTCTCTTTATGACAAATAAATAAATAAATACAATCTTTAAAAAAAAAATAAACTTGTTGGTCAGATAACCAGCTTCAGAAAACGAGGGAGACACACCCATGGGATACAGCTTGGGGCCTTCAGAGAGGTT